GAAGAGAGCTGATCCAATTTTGAAAGGTTTGGAATTGAACATTCCTGCAATGATCTGAACACTATTTTTTTTTCACTTTTTCCCCAAGTTCTTCAATCTCTAGAAAAAGGAAAAGACTTCGGCTCTGCCTCATCATCGCTGGTGCTCTGTTATACCTGCTCTGTTGAGTGTTGAGCACATTATGAGGAACTGTAAATAGAATTACCCTCCTCTTACAATATAACTACGAAATGTATCCCAAGGTCTTCCCGTAAAGATCATTCTTTCTGTATACCAATTTGTACCATCATTCTGTTTTTTCCTTGTGAAGGGGATTGCAATCACTGTTCTCTGGTTGTAATAAACGGATGATTTCACTACTTTTATGTACTTGTATGTCGCTAATCAGCAAGGGAAGTTGTTCATTTCAATCGTACCTTCGTGCCTCTTTGATGTGATGTCCCCCAAAATTTAAAATTCTTCTCAATCATGCCAAGGCTGAGACTTTTTGAAGGAGACGGAATGATGTGTGCAGAGAATTCAGACTCTTGTTGATTCAATGATGTCATGATGCAGCATATGAATCGTGGGAGGGCACTTTCAAGTTTCGACGTACCATGTTGCTTAAAAGGCATCTGTCACACAAATAGTTAATGTGACAAACGACATTGGAAAGTATTTCATTATGGAGTGATTCTGTTCAAGAACTGGATAAGTTTATGGTTCAGGTCAAGAAACATCTCATGGTTCTGTTCGGAAGAGTGAGCGATGTCACGATCGTGGTTATCATTATTGAGAATTCTAATATTCCTTTTTCAACAAAGGAACAAATTTTCCGTTCGTGGTAACATTGTAACACGATTAGTGAAATTTAGATCTAATTGGTAAATTCGTGTAGCAGCGACTTGTTGGTCCAGCATGTTGATGGTGATCTATCGATAATGTTAGCAATTTATCGACAATGAATGCAGCAGTAGGTTATCGAGTTCTTTAGAAATTAGTGAATTACCGGTGAACTTGAAACTGGTGACCAACTTAAGTCTGCTTATAAGGTGGTAAGTTTTCAGCAAAGTGAGAATTCACCAACTTCAAATGGAGTGGAAGCTATTCACTTACTCATAAATTTGCGTCTCAAAGCAAAACTTTCAAGAAGATTAGTTACTAGTGAAATTAGTAACTTAGCGACGCGAGTCTGCTTACAAGTTAGTGAGTTACCGACAAAGTAAAGAATTTACGTTGAAAATAAAACCATATTTAGTAACCTTTCCTTTTAACTGTAAGTTAGTAACCTACTATTCAAATAAGTAATTTACCAATGTAGGCAGCTTTAAGTACAGTAATTTACCAGATTCAATATTAAGTAATAAAGCTCTATCATTAAAGTTAGTAATTACGTGTAAAACTAGTAACCCACCATCGTATGCTTGCTTTTGGCATAATAAAAGTACGAAATTTTTCAATGTCGAATGACCATCAACATAGGCATTTGCATGACTCTTTCCGAGGATACAATCACGAGTTCAATGTCACCACTTAGCAAATAATTTTCTGTTTCTGTGCAAAGAATTTCGAAGTTTGATCAGAAGCAATTTCGAAGAACCTTCACCAACAGGCAATATAAGGAAGCACTGCCCTTCCCACTTTGCTCCATCTTTAGCATGGGAGTGATGGACTTAATTAATGCTTTTGATTTGACGAGATCGGATAAGCGGATCTGTGTACATAAAAAGCACACATTGTGCGTGTGTGGATGTGAGAGATGGAGAAGAAAAATGGCTAGAGAGGTGTTTCCTCTTGTTAATGCTACCAATGGCCATGGAAGCCAACTGGAGTTGACATGGCTGCTCTGCGCAGTTGCATTCTCCATGGCGTTCATCTCCATCATCATATTCGCATGCGGCAAAAGTGGCAAAAACCTCAAGAAAAGAAGGGTTGCGGCGGCGGTGAAGGGGGTAATCTTGCTGGAGTTGGCGGTTTAATCTGCTTTCGAATACTAGATTTGAGAATCGTAACATGGATTTTTCATTGATAGGTTACTAATTAATCAACGAGGCCCACTTATAAAATTTTAATTTACTACTCGAAGTGTGGTGTTAAAATCAAACTAGTTGATGGGCTTAATTATAAAATTTTACAGCACTTGGTAGTGTACTACTGGATACTATATTTAAGGATGGTAAAAATTGTTATTTGATCTATAAATTACTAATTAATTGATGGGGTCCACTTGCAATATTGTAAAACGTGTGGTAAACTACTTGTGAAAGAGAAGGTAAAACCATTATATTGTTGATGATTTACTAACTAATTGACAAGCCCAATCGGAAAATTTAAAAGCACTTGTTAATCTACTATTGGATACTATTGGCAAAAAAGAACTTTTATTGGATACTAGATTTGAGAATAATAAAATCATTATTTTTTTTTGTCTATTCTATCTCTAACTCTTCTCACTGTGTCTTTTCCAAAACGCAGAAGTCAAACCCCGCACATGTGATATTAACGCATCACCCCCCAATCCCTTTACTTACAGGACCGCATGCCTATTGGCAAAATAAAGTCTTCATGATATCATGTGTAGACACTATAAATTGAAACAAATGAAATAATGAAATCTTAACACACAACGAAAACCCTTCTATTATATGATGATCTAAGGTAGGGAAACTTGGGCGATCATAATTATGTCATTTCCATTCGTGGTGGATTTCTTTTCTACCGGCTCTTCTTATGGAGTAGATAGGATCGAACCACATAAGTTTATAGTGTACTTTATTGTTTCTCATTGATTTCTCTAGTAATTTCCTATCTTCATATTAGATTTGAATTGTAAAATCCGTTAGCTTCAGCGTTATTTCACAACACGTCCAAATCCATTTTGAATCAGGTACACGCTATGCGTTTGTAAAAAATCTAACATATATAAAACTCAATCGAATATGTAAGATTTCAATCTCTTAGACCCTAGCGATGAAGAGTGCTTTCGGCATCATCCAATAAAAAGAAGTTAGTCTTAGTTGGTATTCGTTATTATCTCAATAATAATAAATAGAAAGAAGCATACTTTGTAGAGAAAATTTTATTTCAATCCTAAGTCTACTGTACAAATTTTAATTCATTTATAAACATTTCAATTGATCCAATGTAGTCCTAAACCCTTATATGAAATTTCAATATAGTCCTTTTGGCCATTTCTCACCTGAATTGCCGAAGTGGCGGTCATTTATCTTGGTAGTCCTATGGGTCATGGTCAGTGATATGATGTGGATAAATTTACTAGAAACAACACCGTTTTACTTATTTTTTGATTTTTATCCTTTTTTTTTTCTTTTTCCTTTCTTTTTCCCGTTTCTGTCCACTTTTTTTTTCTTAGTAAAGCGTAAACACTTGGGCAACAATATTTTGACCACGATCATCCATATTAAGCTACAAGTCAAATCAGGCCAAACAACTCTTCAACTATCTCAATTGACAAACTTCTACAACTCAATGAGCAGAAAGAAAGTGGACTCATTTGAATTCTATTTGGCTCCTACAATTTGAATTCCCTCCCTAATGAGACGGAAATGATTGAAACCCCTAAATTCAATCGGCTTCACGATGATGATTTGATTTACGCTAAGCCTCGTTTGTTTCACAAAAAATGAATGATTTGAAAAGTATTATCCTAAAAATAATCGTTTGTATCGCGTACAAAAATGAATAAACAAAAAATATTTTCATCGTCCATGAAAAATATTGAAACATAATTTGTTGTCGATAATGAAAATATTTCTCGTTGAATAATTATTTCAACCGATACAAATGATTATTTTCTATAAAATATTTTCCAAATCATTTATTTTCAGTGAAATAAACAGAGCCTAAAGCATGAATAATCGCCTACAAAAGAAGAAGCAGTAATAGCGGCTTCAATCTCCATGGCCTTCAATGGCCACCGAGCTCAAAGCGGCTGAACTTCAATTGCTGCAAGCTCGCCGAGATGTGGAGGCTCGGTCCATGGCTGTCGAGCTCGTCAAGATCTCAATAGCCACGAGCTCGACGAGCAACGGTGATAGCTTGTAGAGTTGAGCAACAATGGCGTTTGCAAATTCAATCGTGAAATCAAGGAAGAAGGACGCGACAGATCTGGCTAAAGCAGGAGGTGAAAAAAGAAAAGAAAAACTGCGCAAAAAGGCATCATTTCAAGTAAATTTGTCCACGTCATATCATTGGTGTGCCACGTAAGATGTCATGCAATGACTGAATCGCCACATTAACTATTTCAAGCAAGTTTTCATCGGGAGGACTTGATTGGGAGATTCACTCAAAGGCTTCCGATAACTTTGAATCAATTGTAAGGTGTAAGATTGAATTAGAATTCGTGCAATGCGAGAGAAACAATTTTTTCATAGCTACTAACGATTGCCCAATAAATTCCCAAGATACAGCTCTCCTAAGTCATAAACCAGCCAATACCAAACCTCCCACGCGGAACATGGATTGTCGAATCAACTCACCGATTGTCTTGATTGATCCGCAACTTCTCTTATTCAGCGTTTTGCCCAATCCTCCACGACGACTGCCAAGAGTTCATCCAAGGGAATTATCTCCAAAGTCGTCGACCTTAGGGGTCTATCTCTATCATCGTTATGGCCAGTACTTGATTGAATGCTCCTCGCCTCAGGAATAGTCGAGTTCTTGCTGCTTCTCTCCATGAGATGATGAGGAAATTCATGGCGAGACATTGGGTCGATTTTGCTAGCACTGGCATCCGTGGTGATGATGGATCGGATCTTCTGCTGCTTAAGTCCGGAGTGATCTTCTTGGTGTGATTGATCCTTGCGTCGGTCGTCGTGTTTTCCTGCCGCAAGAACTAGTCCGGTACTAGCCGCAAAAAGAAAAAGAGACCCCGAAGGCGGAGGCGGAGACGGAGGTGATGATGGCGGCGACGGAGACGGAGGCGGAGACGGAGACGGAGGTGGAGATGGAGGCAATCACGGCAGCGGCGGTGGCAGTGGAGGCGACGGCAGCGGCCACCACGGAGGCCACCACGGAGGCCACATCGGAGGCCACGTCGGCCACCATGGGGCCACCACCACGTAGACCATCACGGAGGAGGTGGTCATGGTGGTGGAGGTGGACACCATGGCGGCAGAGACGGCAGCAGCGGAGGCACGAAAGCCACAGTAGAATTTTTCTTTTGTTGGGGATCTGTAAAGCCACAGTAGAATTATAAAGAGAGTAGTTTCACTGCAGGTCCACTATTTGAGGAATTTACCGACGCCAAATTCTATATTAAGTTGTGAAGCTCCATCATTGAATTCAGCAATAACAAGTAAATTGGTTACTCACCGCCGTATGCTCGCTTTTAGTATCATAAGGGTGAAATTTATCGGTGTGAAATTCAATAATAAGGTTATCAGCCTATTTAAGAAGTTCCCGTTGAAAACAAAACCTTACCAGTGAAATTAACAAATTACTAGTGAAAGAAACAACTTGCCGACGTAGCCTGCTTTTAGCTTAGTAAGTTACCAACAGAATGAGGAATTTATCATTTTCAAGTGGAATAGTAAATTAATAACTCCTAGAAGTTTACTGCTTGGACACACTTATAAAAATTTTAAGTATTGGGAAATTTATTATTGGGTATCAGTGATATAACTATTATTTCAGTGATAAGTTACTAACTACTTGGCGGGAATCTGTTTTTAGATAAGGTTAATACCACCAAAAACCCCAAACTAGTACACATGTAACAAATTTACCTCAATCTAATTTTTTTACCATAAAAAACCCACACCGGTACACTTGTGACAAATTTACCCTCCGTCAGTTTCCCTTAAATTTTACCATCAAATTATTGAGTTGGATGACACGTGTACCAATTTAGGTTTTACCCTCCATTTGTCACATGTATTCCAAATTATTGGTTTTTCATTCCAATTTAACGGAAACTAAAAAAGGATAAATTTGTCACAAATATATCAGCTTGAGATTTTTTATGATAAAAAAATTGTTTAGGATAAATTTATCACAAACGTATTGATTTGAGATTTTTCATTATATTAATCCTTTTAGATATTATATTTGATAATGGTAAAATTGTTATTGAGTAAGCAAGTTAGGGCGCGTTTGGCAACCGGCCAAACAGTAACTATTTCTATTCTTTTGTTCTTAGAATCAGTTTTGGAACAGAAATCCGTTTAGTAAATTTTTTGTTCCCGGGCACAAATTTTCAAAAATTTGTTCCCAGAATCAGTTTTGGAACAAAATCAAGAATAAAAAAAAAGTTGTTTCTTGATTATGGGAACAAGAACCAGAAATGGAAAAGAAATTTTTTTTTGCTTCTTCTTCTTCTTGGTTTTCTGCTTCTTCTTCTTCCTAGCCTGTGGCTGGTCGCTGATCGCCGGCCACCGACGACTGGCCACAGGCCAGGGCCTGCAAGGGCGTTGCAACCCTCGCTGGTGGCCGGCGAAGGCGAGGGCTCGCGGCTTGGACAAGGGCCGCCCTCACCAACGCCCTTGTCAGATCCAGCGAGGGCTGGCGCGAGCTGCCCTTGCTAGATCTGGCGAGGGCGGCAGCGAGGGTGGTGGCGAAGGTCTAGCCCTAGTCAGAGCCGGCGAGGGTGGCCCTTGCCAGCCTTGGCTTGTGGCCGGTCGCCGGCGCCAGCAACCTGGCCATGGCCAAAGAAGGGGAAGAAGAAGAAAAAAATAAGAAAAATAAAAAGAAAGAAATATTAAAAAATTCAAAATATTATTAATAAAAAGAAATTTTGTGCAGTTATCAAACACATTTATGTTCTTTTTCTATTCCAAGAATAGAAATTTTGGGCAATTACCAAACACCTTCAAATGTTCAGAAATTATTCTCGGGCATGAAATAAAAAAGAATTATTTCTGAATAGAAATTGTTTCCGAGAATAGAACGGTTGCCAACGCATCCTAACTAATTAATTGAATGGCCCACTTGTAAAATTTCAAAGGCTTGGTCTTCCAGCCATGAGCACCTAGTAACTTGTAGCTACTAGGCACCGGGCGGGCGATCAGCTGGGGTCGATGGGCGCTCGACCAGAGGCGTAGATAAACCTCCCGTCTCTGTACATGTTCCGCGCGTCTGGGTGTCACATCAGCCTCGAAAGCACAGGAATTAAAACTTTGTTTTGGCCTATTTTCACAAGTCACGCAATACAGGAAAAAAAGGAGTGCCGAGGTTTCCTATTTGTGAATTTTTTGAGCGAGTTCTCTACAAGAGATTGTAAGTGGTGTTAATACTTTGATTTGAGAAGATCAAATGGGCAAATTTTTGTAAGTAAGCGAGCGAGAGAGATTAGAAGAAAATGGCAAGAGGGGTGTTTCCTCTTGTTGATGCTACCAAAGGCCGTGGAAGCCAATTGGAGTGGACATGACTTTGTGTGATTGCATTTTTCCTTGCATTCACCTCCATGGTCATATTCGCATGCGGCAAACGTGGGCACAAACCTCGCATAAAGAAGGCGTAGTGGTGGCAGCGGCAGAGAGGCCAATCTCGCTGGAGCTGGCGGCTTCTACTTAGGTCATGGTGGTTTTAGGACGGCTAGTAGTGACGGGAACAATTGCGGCTACGGTGGAAGTTGGGGCGGCGGTGGAGGCTGCAGTGGTGGCGAGGGTAGTGGCAGCTGCTAACTTCGAAGTAAGGTTTTATGTTTCTTTTAATCAAAATTCGGGTTTTTAACTTTTTATGTTGGTGTTGGTACAGGGACTATGGTTTGCTAGCTAAAGAAGTAGTTGATGTGTAGACGAGTTTGCTGAACTATATAGAATTTGTGTTTAGTGCATGGTTGTGATCTATCTCTAACTATCCGTCTATCCATTAAGTTTTCATTCGATTTCGATCCTGTATTTCCACCTTGTTTTCCAATTTCAATGTGATTTAATTTCCTCACAATATCTTCAATCATTGCACTTAGATTCACGTGGATTTACACCCCCATCGAATCCCCACTTCATGCACTTTTTGTGCGCGATATAAAACTACGGATTGATCTTCTTACGGGACAATCTTTTTGTACAATCTCGATCATTCGTGTGTGAAATTCTTCTTTCGTGTGAGTTTTTCGAAAGCAAGTTTTTACGATACTGTTTGCATTGAGCAACGAGTCCTCTCTCTCCACTGATCAATTACGAGCTCTCTCCTGCCAACCAAAACCTCTACCTTACCCCTCGACAGCCGCATGATCAACCACATTTACGGCGGCCACTCTTTCCCGAGCAACCTCCGATCTCGATCACACGTCCCATACGAAGAAGAAGAAGTAGAGCAACTCCGTTCCTTAATCCTGACGTTTAAATTTTTGAGGCTGATCAAAATGGGCTTGTGACTTGCACATGCCAAAAATAAAAGATATATAGTAAGCCTGACTATTTTTCCCAATGAACGGCAATTGAGCATGTGATGTCACACGCATCGGATCTTGCTCGGTGAAAAACCGATTATAGAATTTTGGGTCCGACTGAGACAAGAAAAACCAAAGTATACTGTGTTGACTGAGCAAAGAGATATCAAGGGATTGACTGAGATAACCATGAAATCATCGGAGCAAGTTGGAATTAGCCCAGAAGTAGAGATCATGGTAGAAGTTTTAGATGGGGACCATAGGTTACTATTAGTAATCCTATTTATACAAAAACTATTTTACAATATTAGGGTATTAAGTTATTAAAATGCTAATTGATATAATAAAATGATGAGCAAATGCGAGGTTAGACGAGATTAACATTGGATAGTTGATACGTGATATAAGTAACTCTTAAACTTCGGAAATAAGTAGGGAGCAGCATCATATCAAGAACATGTGTAAATACTCAGTATGGAGCGGATCTTCTGCTGCTCAAGTCCGGAGCGATCTTCATGCTGTGCTTGATCCTCGCGTCGGTCGTTATGTTTTCCTGTGGCCACAGCTCATCCAGGTCAAAGAAAAAGAGAAGTGGTGGCCACCACGGAGGCGGAGGCCATTCTGGTGACAATGGTGACGGAGGTGGCGGTGGCGGTGGCGGCGGCGGCAGCCACCACCATCACCACGGAGGGCACCGTGGAGGTGGTGGCCATGGTGGTGGAGGTGGACATCACGGTGGTGGTCATGATGGTGGTGGCGGACACCGCGGCGGTTGAGGCAGAGGCGGTGGAGGGTGTTGAATTGTACTTATATTTGTATACGTATTAGGCATGAATTGAAAAAAAGAAGAAGAGGGTTTCATTTCATTAAATTGTGATGCGATAATGTGGTTTGTGTTAGATCATATTAGGATTTATTATTTAGGATTAAGTTAATTGTAATTTACATTTGTTGTACTTAAGTCTAATTGTATTCCCACCCTACATATATTTGGACCTTGTATTCTTCGTTTGGTAATGTACACGGTATTACATTCCTCTCTCTTTCGTGACAATTTTCAACTTGATTTCAGCGCTATTTGTTGTCCGAGGAAACATGCATCGAGTCTGTTCCACGGCCGGTCGCATGGGCCGCCGTTCTCCACCAATTCCTCAGCATTTAGTTGCAAAACGACATCCTTCCATTGCTCAATCCGAAAAATAGAGACCACCAATAGAGTTGCTACACTAAATCTACTTATTTCTTTGTAGAAACTCAAATTCAGTTTTACAACTTACCGCAATCTTACAGTGGGGGAGTTCAATGTTCTGTCCACAACGTTTCTCCGCTCAGAGTTGATCCCGAATCTCCGAAACTACCTTCGTAACATCTGGTCGAATTCATCTAGCATCGTATTCAGGTTGTCTGGCGTGTCGACCACAGAACTCAGCTTCAGGCGGCCGTTGCCGTATCGTCCCAGAACTTTCTTGGTTCAGGCCCAAACTTCACATTCAGATTAGCACCAGAAATTTGCAAATACACCACGTACTTGATCAAACGAATAAAAGTCATACCTAGACAAAGAGAGACAAAAACCCTCCGAAGATGCTTCCAAATCTCATACCCCAATGCCCACAATGTAGTTTGCTAAGATACAGCTGTTTCCAAATTCAAGAATGAAGACATGTCCAATAGCCGGTTGAATCATCAAAGACCCAAGATATTTTTCAAGGAAAGGAAGATTTTTAGCCCTAACTCAACTTGGCAAGAAGTAGATCCATACTTTGATGGGATGAGTTCCCTTTTTATGTCCTTTTCATGTAGTTCGACTCCAATTGGCTATCGACTAGTCTTTCACGAGGCATGATTATCCCCTGTTCCATACGGTTGAGTAATAATCTAAGCATGCATATCGATGTTCCTTAGTTCGGTCCAAGAGAATGCACAAGTACAGCTATGCCAGCTCAGCCTTGGTACGATGAACAATGTCCACCCTCGACAATCTTTTTCTCTTGTAATTGAGAGATGTAACTGAGAGGCGCGAGGTATTAATTATAGTGAAATCATCTGTTGGACGTAGCCCTAATTTAAATGTGAACCAAGATAAAAATATTGTGTCTCGATTACTTCTTCTCGCTTTTACTCACTATTTCCTTGTGATTGTGCACTAATTCCTAACAAACATGATATGTTTGACCTTCATACCAGGTTCCTAGTTCACTTAATTAAAAAGAGAAAATGACTTCAAACAAAATTGTTAATTGAACCTCAGGTGAACAAAGTTAATATCATCAATGTACCATATCTTCTCATTTTTGTCTTCATAATGTGTCACTCACGATATATTGGCGTTGAAATTGTTGAGGAAAATCCCTAATTAGTTTTGAAGAAAGACAAAACAATCATTTTCTGACCACAATTACACTTAAGTTACTTGACGCAGGTAAATACTGAGTTATCAGACTTAGTCAATAAAAGGACTTTGTCATCAGACTCAAAATTTCTCATTAGATTCAATAAGTGTTATTTTTGGCAAGTTTTTGCAGGACAATCATATTAATATTTCAAGATATCCTAATTGACAATCACAAGATCGTTCCATAACACGAAGAACTACACTTATGGAAACATTGATTTGATTGTATGGGCGATCAAATTATCTAGAGATAATGGTTCTTCTTCTATCGGCTATGCATTTTCTTTTGGGAAGTTTTCTCCAACGGTTTGATTTGGAGATCAATCCTCTGAAAATTATCCAACGGATAAATTGGAAATGGAGGAGTATAAAAGGAGTGCAAATGTCGTACAAGGAGAATAACCAGAATCAAGAATTCCAAGATTTGAATAGAGCTTAAATCTTACACACTTGTGATTATTGTATTCCACATTGTGACTTTAGAAAGAAAATTACTTGAGTGAACAGTGTACATGATGGTATAGTCTATCATCTGAGAAGCACTGCTCTTGTAATCTTTTGGTGATTCAATAATAAAACACAGCCAACAGGCTGTCAGCGTGGAGAGTGGACGTAGGCTTGATAAAGCCAAACCACTATAAAGATCTGTGTGCAGTATTCTCTATCCCTAAACTTTCATTTATTATTGCTGACATTATACTGCATACATATCTGTCAAACAAGTTCGTCAGAACATTATCTTAGTCATAAGAGGCAATCATCTGATGACAACTTATATACAAGTTTGTCATACGCATCCATCTGATATTAATCATACGAGTTGTTGACCTCGACTATATTTATTCCGCATGTTTTGTAATACCCCCACCTCGGGGTCATTAGCGTGACGTCCCATTCATTGTTATCTTTCTTTAAACACAAGCGGAATCATAATTTCGGGACAATCACATTACGAACAACAGCGGGATTAAGACAAACAGCATCACGAGCAAACCTTATGTTTACAGGCATGCAAACATGTTTTAATAACCCCTTCGGGCCATGGCAAATAACACATATTTCACATGCACTATGAATAGCAAAACTCGGCTTGGGTTGTCCTATACCCACTACGGCTTCTCGCCCCTCGCTTCTTCACCTCCACCCCGATCCCGTCCGCCTGGCCATCTCACATCCCACCCGTGGCTTTATCCCGAAGCCGGCTTGTCACGCCCCGAACCCCATCGAGCTCGTGACATCCCCTGCTCCGGTCGAAATGATGCGACGTCCCAGGAACGTCGCCGACCCAACCCAAACATCAGAGCCACATGCGGAAGCGGATATATAAAACAAAACCCCGGACAGAAAGATGACGACAACGGGGTAGAACACCACAACAATCAAACAACAACATCTTCATACAGCACCAAGCATACAAACATTGTATTACAGACATAATTATCAAACTAGCATCCGAAATCACCGTCATTACAAAAGATCAGGGTCTGGTTAACTTAACTTCCCTATAGGTCAACCCGATTTACACATCCCCTAAAATACCCTAGGGAAAACCTAAGGATCGCCTTCTTCCAATCTGCTCCTGAGGATCACCTGCAGCTCCACTGGGCACCATGGGCGGCTCTTCAAACTCCAAAAAGAGGAAGTAGGCTCCCTGGGTTTACGACTGGGGGTCTGAAAGTGGTGGTTATACAACCATGAGACGAATCTCAATAAGTGTACAACCCCCAAACCCAACGTAGGTACTCACGTACCGCCAGACAGAACACGCATCTCACACAACGATTAATCAATGTAACAATCACACACGAACCTACCTGGAACCCATCATGCACGTTCCTGCACGTTAGACCATAATACAGCCAGCACATCACAGCAAGGAATCACAGACGCGCGCGTGCCTCAATTATAAGACAGAAACCACTTGGGCACGTCCCATACCGTGCCTAGCAGTTTCTACCCTATAATTAAGCATCACATCACGCGATACAAACACACTCGCACACTAACTCACACCATGCGTCACTTTCTCAAACCTCGCACCTCAAGTCAATTCCCGCTCATTCTCAACTCTTCCACCACTACCGCACCGGCGTAAAACGCATCAGGCCAACGGTCTTCTGACCTCGTCAAGCATCGACACCCCGTCGGGCCGGGCATCGTCACCTCATCAGGGACGGCATCGTCCCGCGTAAACGAACACGCCTCAGGACGGAATCCTACACACACTTTCCTTCTACCGCGCCCGCATAAAATGCATCAGGCCAACGGTCTTCTAACCACGTCAGGCATCGTCACCCCGTCGGGCCGGGCATCGTCACCTCGTCAGGGACGGCATCGTCCCGCGTAAACGTACACGCCTCAGGACGGACCCTTTTCCCAACCAATCCTTCATTCCAGTACCTTCGTTCCACTCATACCACACTTACACAAGGTCAACAGTCGCACGACCAAACATACACACCTCACACGCATTCGTAGCCATGCACCAATTCACATCTCACGTACACTTCACAAACACACGTTCTCGTCATACGAATACACCACACGACCATACACATTTAACACGCGAATTCAATACATATTCACACGACCACGCCACTACACCTCACGGTCATACACACACGGCACACCACCTCATCACATTCAGCCCATGCACAAACCAGAACCAGCCAACCACAGCAAACAATGCAATTGATCAATTAAGCACAATCAAGCCATAACAATCCCACTCAATCACACAAATGAATCCCGATCGATCCACAATATCACTGCCCTATCCAAATCTACTAAACCTCAAATTTTCATTGCCAAATCAGTCCGTAACCAACAAATACCCAGCCTCTAAATCAGTCTCCAAACAGTCACAATAATTCCAATCAATTATACAAATTAACTGCGATCGCTCCACGCATCACAGCCATCATCGAGCCTACAAATCCTCACCAATTTCTTCTCCAAATCAGTCTCCAAATCAGCCCACGACAACCAAATACCAGCCTTCATCTCAGCCCCCAAAACAGCCACATAAACCCCTAAACCGAACCCTAAACAGTGACCGAAATCCCATCAAAATAAATAGTAAACGAACTCCAAAAATTCTAAAATTTGGATATATCATAAAACACATCTTGATCAACATTTCTTATGAAGAACATGAAATCCGGTTCAATCTACAACCATGCCTTTTTGTCCCTCGAAATCAGACAAAAATCAGTTCGCTCTAACAGACTGCTTTGTCCTCAAAATACATTTATTTCAACACCCAAATCACCTTGAAAAGCTTTGAAATTTTTTTATGATATATCCACAAATGTCTCCAACAACTTTTGTGAAGGAAGTATTTTGAAAATAGGCCTGGAAAAATTTATAAAAATTCGAACAGACCCGAAGGTCGGGTGAACAGTAAATCGGGCAGTTTTATTTCGGTCCAAAGATGGACTTCCGAATGGCATCAAATGATTTCCAAAAATTCCCAAATTAAAATATGTTATACTTCAAGATGTTGGGAACAACTTTCATGAAGAAAACTTCCTCAAATTCAGCCCACAAAATTTTCTACGAAAATAGCAAACTGGGCGGATACAGTAACCGTGAATCCGCGATTCACCCCGAACCTCACGGA